ATCTGTAATATCAGCCATATTTGATTGATAATATGAAACAGCTTCATTTATAAGTAATGTTATATTATTATTAAGTTCAATACGCCAACATGGTATTTGCCAATCTTCAAAATATAACATTGAATAAAGATCATCATAAAGAAATATTAAATATGATGAAATTGTTGTTGATGTAACTTGATTTAAATTAATTATAAATACTGATGAAGGTGATTGATCATCAGCATGACGTGGTTTTCGTGTATCATCATTTGGCATTATTTGATGATTAACAAATGCTTGACGAAGATTATCACCAAAACCTTGATAACCATTTGTTGTATTTTTATTTGAACTTATTAAATGAGCATAACCCCAATTATTTCTTGTTGCATCACCACGTATACCAAATGGAATTTGATTATAACTATTCATAGTTAATATAGTTATATCACCATCAATTCGATTCCAAGAAATTTTTTCATTTTTATCATTAATACTTAATCTTGAACTTTCTTCAAAATAAATTCGAACATTATGAGTTTTTTGATCAAGTGTACGAACATCAAATGTTATATAAGTATAAGGATCTTCAATTGATGTTGGTTGACTAAATGATACGATAAGTTCAATTGTATTTGTTGGTGTAGAAAATTTATAAATTGTACGCCATGGTTGTACAACAACATTATTTTGTATTAAAGGTGGAATATTTGATGGTTGAGTACCAAGAAACCGATATGTTTGAGAATTATCAATATCAATTAAACCATAAAAAGCAAGAGGTGATCCACTCCAATGAACAGTATCAGAATCGGTAAGATTGTCCGAACAAGACCAAACTATTTATAGAAAAAAAAAAAGATATTTAATAAAATGTAGGAAAATATTATTCTAAAACATTGAAATTTTATGCACATCTGTTACATAATAAAAAGATTGTTTCTCTTGATTAAATGAAGCTTAGTTTTTCTTCACATGACTATTCATGAGAGAATATTGATCACAGTTTGATTTCATTTTTATCTATAACAAGATATTTTTTGAAAAGTTGAAATAAAAGATATTGATGATAGATAGATTTAATTATCATCAAAATGACTTGAAATTTTCCTTTTACACATATTCGTTTTTTCAAAAACAAAAACAAACAAACAGATACAGTCTTGGATAAAAGTAGTTGCCTCCAATGAAGTGCTATTATTCTTTCTTCACAATATTACTTTTAGAGTTATGATTCAGATATCCTCTTACTCACGTGATCACATTATCTTAACCATGTTAGGACAAATATAGAAACATATTTTCGCTGAATATATTTTTCATTGGGGAAAGAACCTATGTGAATCATTAATCCAGTACATGTGGAACTGACAGAAGGCAAGTTGGTGCTTCATACTCATGCATCCAAAATATCAATTCAACATCATAAAGATTAGTAGCACTTCATGAGAGAACTGCTACTTTTGCGCAGCACCATATTTATCAAAGGATTCTCTTATCTCATCGAACTTTACTTTTATTCATAATAGAGATAGGATCAGTTCGGTTTGAAATTTCTTCGACGCAGTTTCAACAAATGAAAATTCGAACCGATCCTCATCTCTAATGTAGAATATAAATTCGAAAGCTATTAATATCTCCTTGTCAGATTATTCCATTTAAGTATGTGAAGAAATTTGTTAGTATTGTAAAAATTATTTATTGTTTGCTTTTCAACAAGTATAGTATTCTTTTATTATTATAAATTTTTGTGTTTATATTATACAGTATATCAAAACGAGTAAAGTTATTATGAATTCTTGCGACATCTATTTAGCTAAATATTTTTCGTATATTCTTTCTCTTTTGTTGCACATTAATTTTTATGAGTGATAAAACTGTAATCCTGACCCACATAATACTTCAAAAAGAATCGATAGACAGTCAATCTTATCTAACAGTCATAGAACTATCTTTTATATAAATTGCACTTGACTCAGTATATTAATCGGGCAAGGGTTTTTTATGATTGTTTCATATAATAAAGATGAAAAAAAAAAACGACAATTCACCTATGGGAAACTATTTGCTTATAAAAATGTGAAGTCAATAGTTTATTGTGAGAGGTGTGTCACGATATGCGTTTCTTTTTTGTTTTTTTTACCTTGAATAACGTCTAAATATGACTCACCTGATATATGAGGACTAAATACGATTAATGGTACAGCTGGAGGACGAAAATCACCCGAAACATCATTACTTTTAGTAATGAAAACGACGACAAGAAATGCAAATAATCGTTGCATAATAAATAGATGTGAAATGATATGCTATCTAAAAATAAACATGCACTAGTTGTAAACTATAATATTACGACGATAAAAGAAAAAAAAATTTAAGCAATAGACAATATTTTTCGTCTTCGAAAGGTGTCACTTGTTTCGTGTTCTACGAGTTTGTATTTTTTTTATTATAGATATTTTTATTAGTGCATCTTTTTTCATTGAAGAACTTTGCCCTTTGTTCTAAATCTATGTTTAACTCCTTAATAGGTATGATTTAATATATTAAATTAATATTTTTCAACTATAATTCTATTTAATAGTGCAACCTACTTTATTACCTGTCAATCAATTATTACAAGATTATTGTAATTCACCTGTTTTTTTACCAAATAATATATCGAGAATAGCATTTTCACCATGTTCAAAATATTTGGCTATATCAAAACAAGATATTGATGATCAATATTGTGTTCTTGTTTTTTATTGTTCAAATTGGCATTCAAAAACTATTACTGATGATAACTTATATTTACACAATAAATTTATTTGTACATCAGCAATATGGTCATTAGCATTTGGTAAAGGAGTATCAGAATTAAATTCTATAACGAAACCAATTTTACTTGATAAAAATGATTTATCTATACCAATAACAACACGACGTGCATCACTTGATCAACGTCGTTTAAGTTTATCAGTTGTCAATCGTCGACATGATTTTACAAAACATCTATTTCTTGCTACGGGTCTTGCTGATGGAAAAATAAATATTTGGAATGTTGATACTGGAGAATTAACATTAATACTTGAAGATCATCAATTAGCTGTATGTGGATTAGATTTTACATCATGTAGTATGCAATTAGCATCATGTTCACATGATACAACTATTAAATTATGGGATTTACTTGATGATGGTAAGAAAAAAAAACCTTATATAATAAATATTAAATGAAGAATGGTAATTTTTATTCGATTTCATTTTATTTTTCGATCGATTGAAGTCAGAATTAATTTCACAAGAAATTCTATTGAAAAGTCTTCGAATAGAATATTTATTTTTTTTATTTACTAAAAATTTTGTTTTTTTTATTCAAGTTTATTATCAATACAAAATGTGGAGCTTTTTTTAAATAGTATTTCAAGTTTATCGAGATGAATTACCTTTAAAAAAATCTTATATTTACTTTTTTTTTTATTTATTTCGAACTAAGAATTTAAAATCTATTAGTACAATTTATGGTATCGAAATTCAAAAGAATTGTTATTTCATTCGGGAAAAAAACGCATTCGTCAATTTTTACTTTGTCTTTTAAAGCAAATTAAATAGTCTACAATGAACAATATCTATAGGAATAAAATTTCGATTATAATTTGTTCATATCATTCATATTCTGTATAATCGTTAATTCGTACTAATTATTCTTCAATTAAAATAAAACTTTAATCTCACCTTAAAAAGATCTTGGATATGTTTGATTTCTAAACTATATTATTCTTTTTTTTGTTGTTTTATTTATTTATTTATTTATTTATTTTGGTAAATAACCGGTATTCTTTTTACCTGGTATTTAAAATTATTTTAATAGTGACATCTACTTTTATCTACATTTTCTTTTCTAATCTTAGGTAATATGTATAAAACATTAAATGAATGGACTCATGTGATCAATATAGTAAAATGGTCACCAGATGAATCACTTTTATGTGCAGTAGGTCCATATGAATTTGTTGTATTATTTGATACAATAACATGGACAGAATTATTTAAATTAGATGGACATTTACATAATGTTGTTGATTGTGCATTTTCATCGGATAGGTAAATTAAATATTAATATCTATTTAATATATTTCTTCTTATTATTTTTTTCCCTTTGATTTAGTGCCTTTTTAGTAACTGCTTCTTATGATACGCGTGTTTTAATGTGGTCAACAATAACTGGTGAAATTATAAAAGCATTTGCACATCAAATTCCAAGACCATTAAAAATCTATGCTGGCGGTGATAATGGAGCATTTGTTCGATCTGTTGCTGTTACAAAATCTAATCAGTTTTTAGTTACTGCTTGTGATGATAAGTAAGAATTTTTGAGATAAATATGTACGATAAAATAATTTTCGTCTTTTTTTTTTAGTAAAGTACGCTGGTTTCCTTTAGTATCAAATCATTCATCAAATACGATATTTGAACAAACAGAAAACAATGTTCTTTATGTTGCAATAACATCTGACAGTCAAACTATGGCTGTTAGTAATCGTAATGGTGATGTTCGTCTTTTTTCAACAGTTACAACATTACTCACAAGTCAACCATTATCATTAAAATATTTGTGTCGACTAACAATAAATACCAATTGTGGACATAAACGACAAGATATTTTAAACTTACCTATATCACATAAGTTGATTAATTATCTTTTATATAAAGATATTTCAATGAAATATACAAAACAAATTATATAGAAAGTTTTTACTTTTTGCTTTTGATTGTGTACATAAATTTTTCATGTATATTCTTGTTTTTTTTTTTTTTCTATCATGTTTTCTCTTACTGATATAGTGAGAGAATGTAAATGATTGAGTCTATGAAAAACGAGAAATTATTTATAATAAAAGAACAAAATCAAACGTTTTAATGAGATTTTAAAAAGTCTTAAAATTATGCTTCCACTGTTGATACAAGTATAGCAGGATCTTTTTTCTTATTGATTATTTCTTTAGGTGTTCGGGCACATGTATAACAACAGGAGACTAATATATATATATAATTGATAGAAGAAGTAGCCAAAATGCAAAACGATATAATATCGGATGGCAATAATCAAATCCATGTGGATCGTTGTACTGAATTTTATTCCATACTCGAAATACCCAAATACATCCAGCAATAAACCAACCAACGAGAAATAGGATCAGACAGATAATAACTATTAAAAGGCCACAAAGACCACAACAAGCTCCACAATGAGAAGCTCGAAGAGTAGTATCATCTAACTTCGATTTAGCATATGATGCCAAAAGATCAAAAATAATATCTAATATAATAAGAGTAAGTCCGATAATACCTGATACAACTAAATAATGTGGTATATGCCAATTAGCAGGGCAGTTGTCTGCATAACGCCAACCAACAACTAATTGTAAAACTATCAAATACAAGTACATATCAAAATCAGAAATTTTTCTATTTTTTTACGTCTAATGTTTGGAAAATCAATGATAAGTATAGAAAAAAGTCTTCTTAATTTAAAAATATTAAAATATAGAATCCAATTTCTTTTTTGTAAAATATTATGAGAATAATAATCACAGAGAATCATATGACTTACGTGGAATAATGACTAGAACCACAGTAGTAAGTGATATACCTGATCCAAAAAGTTTTTTATTTAATGCCTTTTTACTAGCACCACTGGACGGTAATTTATCTGATTCTGTTGTCTGCACATTTTTTTTGATCGTCGACAATAAGATTATCTGCTTCAACTAGCTTTGCAGTTGTTACATCCGTTACAGCAACTTTTTCTACTGATGTTGCTAATAAATTTTTCGGATCATTGACAATAACTGTTTCTAGTGATACCTGTTGTGAGTTTATTGGTTCATTAATAACAAGAGTATGTGCTACTGCTGGTTTTTGTTCCATATTAATAACTGTTCGTTCAGTAGTAGTTGTCATCGTCTTACAGTACTCAGAAAAAGTCTACTTATGAATATAAACTAAAAGACCAGTGTCTAAAAATATTCTGATTTTGTATAGTGATCAATCCTTGTGTCGCTTATACAAAAAGAAAACCATAATAAACTCTTTTGTATTGTGTATTTTATAATTTTTTTTTCTTCTTTCTCATCTATGCACCATCAAGATCATACATATTTATGTTTACTTACATCTCGGTGACAAGTGCACTTCTGTGATGGCAACCCATGTCGTCGATTTTTTATCAAAACCGACGGTTAGACTAGGTTTTCCTTCATTTATCATTTTTTTTTTATTATCTCATTACTAAATTAATATTTTTAGTCTTGAAAAAGTTGATCTCAACTTTTAAAAAATCGACTTAATCATGCAACAGTAAATTCTATCAGATAACACCACATATTTTCCTATTGATCAAGTCGTGTAACGGATGACTATTTTTATGGTGTCATATTTAATAAAAACTCAAACTGGAAAACTATGCGAATATGAGCGATGTGGCTAGTATAATCGGCTTCAGCGCATCGACAATATAGAAACGGCATGATTTCGGTCAAAATTTGTCAATTTTGTAAGAGTAAAGAAAAATTGATCCATTGTGATACGAAAAAAAAATTCAGCTGGTGAACCGCGGTTAATTGTCGGTTTTCGAGCAGTTTGAATGACATGGGAATATATGTATTGTATCTTTCGTTTTTTTTCCACTTTTTTTTGAATGCCTTCCTAGTAGTCGCATGTGTAGTCATTATGGATATCTTAAACAGGAGTTGATTATACTTCTTATTCATATAAATAAAACAAATTACCCTATTGCAGTCGATTGATTAAGTGTAGAATAAATCTATAAAGAAGAAATACTTGATATGCAGACTTTTTCAATGATTTTAATTGTGTTTTACATTAGTTAATTATAAAGAAAAAAAAAGAGAGTTCATTATTAGAAAAATCTACATTTTAAATAGAAATGTTATTTATTTTCGTGATAGAAATTAAAATTTAATCATTATATAAAAGTTCAGGATAATCAGAACCAATTAAATTTGTTTCATTATCGGTATTATCATGTTTTAAAAGTTGAAGAATAATACTATAAGATCGAAGAAGTATTTCTCGTTCTCGTTCCATTTTTTGAATATATTGTTGAAGTTCATCGATTAAAATTGCTTCTGATTTAAACGTAGCAGGTCGTACACTATTTGCAATATTAGTAATTGATAAAGGATCAACAGAGTTTATCGTAATTCGAGGAAGAATTGATGTTGGATGTTGTGAATTCGTTAATGATAGAGTGGGTAATTCACTGACAAGCATTAAATGTAAACGATCGATTCGATCAAGTAAATCTTGCGTTGGTGATAAAGACATTTCATATATTCAAATGGCGAGAATGATAGAGAAAAGAAAAAAAAATGAATAGAAAGAAATGAATAAAGATTAACTATATAAATGTTTATATCGATTCTGCACGAAAAACTAGCAATAACATTTTGTTTTCTATGAAATTTATTGATCATGTTTACATCTCTAGGATCGATTTTTTTAATCATCCATTCATTTCAATTATTCGTATTTCATCTTTGAATCTGTATGAAAATCAACATAGGATATTTGACAGGTATTTAATGTCGATTGAAACTAATATTCATCATGCCCATGATAAACATATTTAAACAAAATATTTAATTATATCGGTACACTCGCTGAACTGTATAAATTATTTTCTCATCGAAAAAAAAAAAGAAAATATTGTTCGAATATAATCAAGACTTAGTTGCGTTCATAGTTGTAGAACAAACGAAAGAGTAACGATTTGAACGTAAAATCTGTTTAAAAGGATTAAACTAAAAAGAAAATATTTATTCAGTTTTATCATCAGTTTCTTCAATTGATTCTCAATGAAAATAAAAGTTCAATAATATTTATACTGTTTATCCAAAACGAACAAAAGAGGTTAATTTCAAATCAAAATCGAATTCTTCAAGATTCTGTAGTGTATTGTGATGTTTTGGTATCTTTCAAATATAAATGACTACATGTTGCAATTTAGAAAAAGAAAGTAGCTAAAAGTAACTCACAATGAAAAATGATAAAGAACTCGATGACAATAATCTTTTTGATTTGCAACAATAAACTGTACAATATGCCAATTAACGAAATACTCGATACCCATGTACTCGGTTGTTGCATTATCATGTAATTATTGCCATTATAATGGAAAATAATGGCAATAATTACATGACAATGCAATAACCGGCTACATGGGTAACATCTAGCAACAAATCAAATGAAGAGAAAGAAAAAAAGTTTGCTTCAAAGACACATAATACACAATAGACCAATAGTAGAAGCTAATTTAAATTTTTGTCTAACACGATTTATAGAAACTTTAGCTTTTAGAACAGTTTGAATAATACTTAATAGTATAATAGTAATTCCAATAGCATATGTTACAACTAAATAAAATGATATATGTCAATCAAATTGACAATTATCTGCGAATCGATGTTCAATACAAATTTGAAGAACTATAAAAAAAAAGAAAAAAATTAGTTGTTAATCGTAAATTATTATAGAATATAATCTTATATTTACTTGGTATAACAGCAACCCGTGCTACTTATACGGATACATGTGTATTGTGGGTTAAAACTGAAATGATTTCTTTTTCAACTACAACTCTATCAGTAACACCAGTTGTTGAACTAGCAAAAAACGAAGATAACAAGTCAACATCAAAACCAAAATCATATTGAGATGCAATTGATAAAACAGAAAAATCTCGAATTATTTCTACTACAAGTCCACCAATATCAATAATAACAGGAACAATTCTTGATATTATGACAATATAGTAAAGAATTTTATTTTTTCACTGGTTTTACGTATGATCAAGAAATGTTTATTGGAATATCTTTCAACTTAAGCAACAGAAAAATAAGTAAAACAAAAAAAATGAACAATTTTTCTTCTTATTTATTAATAAATTATTTAAAATTCAGATTCATGAATTATTTCGACCATATGGTAATTTTCTTCTTGTTTATATTGTTAATACAAGATCTCAAATTGATTGAGCAAATTTAATTTTTGTTGTTAGTCAGTCAATTGAAATGATAAAAACTACTGTAGCTGATCATAATAATCTTTTAAAAATCAAAACAAAAATAAATGTCGAAGCTAAAAAATGTCGTCCTTTTCCACATATATTTCATGTAACATATTCAACAACTGTTGCTTCACCAACAATTTATTAATCAATTAGTTATCTTCAACATTTTATAATCATTCATCATATGCTGAAAATGTTTCAACTCGTGTTTTTACAACGTGATGGAAAAAGAGGAACAAAATGATTTCCTTTGTTTTATTTTTCATTTGTTTATGATAACTATCAATGGTTTTTTCTTTCTTCTTTTGTGGAGAAAGTTATATTGTTTATTAATTTTTCGTTTTTCATCTACTGATGAAAACTCTTGGAGATCTGAAAGAAAGTGAAAAGATAATCATAATAAGTTTAATTCTGGTCTTTTCGTATGATTGCGTTTGTTCTTTTTTTCTTTATCTTCCTCATTGTTGTTAACTCTGACTTTTAATTAGGATAAATTCGAAACAATACTGATTGTCTTATGAACATGTCAAAAGTATATTACGATATGATTCTGAATTAATTTTATGAAGTTTCTATTCCACGTAGCCAAATTTAACAAAAAACTCAAGTTTTAAAATGTATTTTAAATGACTCTCAAATATTGAAGAGGATGTGGGTGTAGGTGTGGTGAGTGGATGTGGGTGAGACTCGGAGAGCAAGCAAATCGACATCTACACACCCACACCCGCACCTGCACCCTTGTTTTCTTTTACTTATTTCATTTATTTAACTATACTGTCTTTCCTGCTTCTAGATAATGAGTAATCAACGAATGACCGACAATCTCGTTGTCGGAAGAAGACTTGCTAGCCATGTAAGTGAATATAAAAAACGTTATAGATGAACAGTCCATCTGTGTACACAGTCTACCAACGCATGGACAAAGAAAGAAAGATGAAGTTTTTTTTTCGCTTACAACTCATGAGAGTAAAGAAAAATTCTATCACTGGGTAATGAAAGAGAGGGAAACAAAATAAGAAGAGAATCAATGGTCTTTTCTCTCTTTTTCTAATTGTTCTTTGCGTTCTGTTTGACCAGTAGAAAAAAAAATTCTTTCATCAGGTCATCTCACTCTGTTGCTAACATTTTTTTTATCCATTATATATATATAGAAACTAGTTTTGTGAGGTATTTTCTTAATCATGTGTCGTTGGTATGCAGATGAGTTGAAGGTTAGGACTATGCATAGTATGGATAAATGAATGTTTAATAATCTATCATATTTTCTTTTCTTTTATAGAGGCCTTCATCACCGTCGCCACCTTCACCACTTCAACAACAACAACCTCAGCCATCACCATACCCAATCAATTTATCACCTACTTTCGATAACGTGATTGCACTTCTCGAAGCTGTGTTGGCCACCACCACGCCGACGTCGGTACACGTACAACAACTGACGGCCCTCGTTAGTGGCCTTGCTGATGGTGCTGGTGATGGTCTTGCTACTGGTGATGCCCTTGCTGATTCTGCTTCTGCTGTTGATGCAACAGCTCCATCATCATCTTCATAAAGAATACCTTTATTTTTGTATTTGTTAGGTGTGGGTGTCAGTGCAGGCACAGAATATCTTTACACCCACACCCTCAAGCCAATATATTCGATGGTTTCTTATTGATATTCTATCTGTATTAGTGGCTGATACGGAAATTAATGATTCAATATTTCGTTTTTGAAGTCATCAAATTATATTCATCTTCATTCTAAAATATTCGAACAAGAAATAGAACATAATAATATATATTTTTGACTAATTTTACTGTATTAAAAAGTTGTTCGCATTGAAAAGAATGTATTGAAGATTCCAAAACATCTTCGTCTAATTGATCAT